CACCCCGCTCGCGCCCGCCGCCCCGCGCCCTGCCCCGCCGATCTCGCCTCCAACTCACCCTGCGGGCTCGGAGGCTCCCCGAGCTGCGCCTTCCCCCGAGCCGGCCAGCCGGGGCCGACTAAGAGGGGCAGGAGGATGGCGAAGCGCATCGCCAGAGCCGGCGCCCGCAGCATTCTGGCCGCCCCGCCACCGGCTCCCCCTTGCTACCCGGCCATGGCGCGTCCGGAGAAACCTCGGCAGCGACCGGCGGGCTGAGCCAGATCCGGTTACGCGGCGGCCGTGGTGCGGGTAGCGGCGGCTGCGGTTGCGTGTCTGTGTCTCCGGGTCTCCGGCAGCTCCGGCAGGCCCCCCCCGCCTTGTCCGGGGAAGAGATCGAGAGAAGCTGCGAGGGCTCCCCCTGCTGGAACAAGGCGGTAGTGCCGCCGCGGCCTCCGCCTCCTTCTGCGCCGGTGCTCCGCCCTTGCCTTACCTCACCTAGAAACTGTGTGTCCAGCGCTGCTGAAGAGGGGTTCCGGAAAAGAGCGAGGAGGAGGGCGGTTTTCCCCCATTACCCGCCTAAAGGAGCAGGTCTCTGAACATGTGCAGAGTGAGATGGTCTTTTCGGGGAAACGTCACCCTCTGCACGTGCACAGAGGCACCCTTCCTCCCCGGGAATGTAGATGAGGGGGAGGTAGGGCGTTTCGCAGCTGTCCTGCGTCTTTCATGGCCGTGTGGAAGCGGGAATCCCGTTTGCTTGTGAGGTGAGGCCACCTGCTTAAAAGCAAATTTAAAGGAGAGGTTCTCTAAGAGTGTCTCCATCCCCGTCACCACTGGAAGTCACCACTGGAACTATCCTTTGTGTTCTGGTGATGAGCTTGTTAATCCTGAAGAGGGTTCAGTCATCAATCCAAGCAAAAAAACAGAAGTCAGATTCAGAAAAGCAGGTATGAAGGAACTAGAAAAGGTCCTCAAGTATAAGGATGTTTCACTGGAGAAGGCAGGCTAAGATCATCCACACCATTGTGTTCCCAATTACTCCAGGGGGTGTGAAAACTGGACAGTGAAGAAAGCTAGTGGAGGAAGTGGATTCATTTGAAATATGGTGCTGGAGGAGAGCTTTGCAGATACCCTTGACTGCCACAAAGACAAAACAAGTGGGTCCTACATCAAATCAAGCCTGAAATCTCTCTAGAAGCGAAAGTGACAAAACAGAGGCTGTCATACTTTGGGTACATCATGAGAAGACAAGATTTGATGGAAAAGACAATAATCCTGGGGAAAAAGTTGAAAGCAGCAGGAAAAGAGGAAGACACGATGTGAGATGGATGAGACTGTATAAAGGAAGCCACAGCCTTGAGTTTTCAGGAACTGAGCAGGACAGTTAATGACAGGACATTTTGGAGGTCATTCATTCATAGAGCCTTTCAGCACATCCAGAATGTATTTCCTTCCATTAAGTAGTCAGAGCCAGTTGTCCATGTTGGTGAGAAAAGGTAACCTTCCACACAAGCCAAAGTCTTGGCATCCTTTCCTAGAAACACCTGGTCCACACCGAAAGGGGCTGCTGCTTGTCTCATTGCCAGCAACTCTAAAAGGGCGTTTCAGCATTCCCTGGAAGCCTGTGGTTCCTCCCTCATGAAGAACCACAGACAACAAGGTCGATCGGTGAGGACAAACAGTGGAGCTGGAGCACTCCTTGTGTGGCTGGACCACTCTTCCCTGGCCACGTGCAGCTCCAGGAACTGCAGTCCAGAAAAGGGAAATGTGGGGACATAAGCTCTCTTCAGACGCCACAGCTTTAGGAGATGTAGCCGTTGTCTTACATGACCAGTGCACACCCACCTGAACATCTCCCACAGTTTTACAGCACATGAAGCTTTGTCAGCTGTCAGAATCCTATGGAAAATATTTCTGAAAAAGGACAAGGGCATGAATACCCGTACCAGTTCCTTAGAACAGCTGGCACTCCTGCATCTTGATTACTTGGGGGAGGGGTAAAGCCCACTTCCAATGTGGGTTGCACATCATTCTTTGTCTCCCCATCCCGATCTCGGCCCTTTCTAGCCACCCTGCTGCATTCATGAACTTCACAGAATGATTCACAGAATTTTTCCATGGGTTTACCAATGTCATTTTCCATTTGTAATGATGACATTTTTCTTACCACAGGAAATCCATTAAGAAAGGAAAGACTGAGAAACCAAGGCTGTCCATCTTTAGAAGCACCCTTCATCACTTTCTCTTGTCCTGCTTCAATGTTTTTTTTTGAACTGCATTTTTTAAGCCTGCATTTCCAGAATGGATTCTAGCAGTACAGTTAGATAATTTTAGACCCTAGTCTTAATCGTCGTTGTTTAGTCGTTTAGTCGTGTCCGACTCTTCATGACCCCATGGACCAGAGCATGCCAGGCCCTCCTATCTTCCACTGCTTCCCGGAGTTGTGTCAAATTCATGTTGGTTGCTTTGATGACACTGTCCAACCATCTTGTCCTCTGTTGTCCCCTTCTCCTCTTGCCTTCACACTTTCCCAACATCAAGGTCTTTCCCAAGGAGTCTTCTCTTCTCATGAGATCGCCAAAGTATTGGAGCCTCAGCTTCAGAATCTGTCCTTCCAGTGAGCACTCAGGCTTGATTTCCTGCAAAATGGATAGGTTTGTTCTCCTTGCAGTCCAGGGGACTATCAAGAGCCTCCTCCAGCACCACAATTCAAAGGCATCAATTCTTTAGCGGTCAGCTTTCTTTATGGTCCAGCTCTCACGTCCATACATCACGACAGGAAAAACCACAGCTTTGACTATTCGGATTTTTGTTGGCAAGGTGATGTCTCTGATTTTTAAGATGCTGGCAAGGTTTGTCATTGCTTTCCTCCCAAGAAGCAGGGCAGGCGTCTTTAAATTTCGTGGCTGCAGCCACCATCTGCAGTGATCATGGAGCCCAAGAAAGTAAAATCTGTCACTGCCTCCATATCATGGCCACTGGGAAATAGAAGGGGATGGGACCAGTGGCCATGATCTTAGTTTGTTTGTTTGTTTGTTTGTTTTTTATGTTGAGCTTCAAACCATTTTTTGCGCTCTCCTCTTTCACCCTCATTATGAGGTTCTTTAATTCCGCCTCACTTTCTGCCATCTGAGTGGTATCATCTGCATATCTGAGGTAGTTGATATTTCTTCCGGCAATCTTAATTCC